GAAAAGCTGAAGGACTTGGCAAAAACCACGAGAACTTCGAACACCAATGCTGAAAACCCTCCAGGCATTGAGCTTTTTTAGCAGGCACGGAGGCACTCGTTCTGTTTGGCTGATCGGAAGGTCAGATGTGTCTGAAGTCTCGGTGAGAGAGGAGGCCTGGCAGATCTGAAATTTGGCAGTCGAGGCGAGAGGACACTTGTTCTGCCTCAGGATTCTAAAGGAGAAGACAAGGACAATCACGAAAAGGAAAAGACACCAGAGATACCGGAGGAGAAACCAGAGGGGAAACCAGAGGACACGGTGAAGGTGCGCTCGATCTGTTTCACGTTTCGGCGGAACATCGCGTTGTTCTCTGCGTGATGTACTTCCGGCCAGGTTTGCTTGGTAAGGCCAGATGGTCAGGAGAAATCCATGACTTTGCACAAGGCCCTGTCGATCCAAGAGCTTATACAGCCGGAAGCCCAGGTATGTCTACCAACGAAGCGGAAGTGATTTGGTGAATCTAAGCATTGTCACCTGCGTCCGTTTGCTGCAGCAGCGGAGTTGTGACATGAAGTTTGGTTAAACAGCTGGTTAAATCATCTCGCACAAATCATGGCACACTCAGCCATGCTCCTGTCAGAAGTCGACGTGATTCCTGAAAAGTCTCCCATGAAGGTTGGATTAGTTAGTGGCGTTTGCTGAATGAGTCTGGTACCAGGAAGCATCGCCCTTCTTCACTGAAAGAGGACGAAGTGGAAGTTGTCGGCCCTGGAGATATGGTTGCTTGGATGACTGTCCACTTTGACCGACACACCTCTTGATGTTCCATGAAGATGAATCACCTGGGCACCCGCAAAAGTTGTGGAGGTCGTTTCCTGTTTTCGTTGAGTCTCCAAGTAAATGATCATTTGAGTTTCAGCTTCATGATCGCCGCCAAATAGCTACCCTATGGCAGATGGTGTTGAGGACACAAGGAGTTTCTGACATTTTATGACTCATGACTATTGCGCCAGCAAGTTCCACCTTGTTTAGATTTGAGCTGTTGTAGCAAGGTCCTTGAGCCCGATTTCACCTTGCTCGACTGCACCATGGTTCTCGACACCGACGAGGTCGGCCGCATTGAGTTTTTGTAGACAAGAGTTCCTTTCCTTCTTTTATTTTTCCCGTATAAAAAAAAAGGAGCACATGTGTTGAATCTTTGTTTATAAACATCGATTGCCGTGACGTCCAGGAGGTGCCACGCTTTGCTTTTCGCAAGCTTGAGGAATGAGGTCGGATGAAAAAGGCGGAGTTGCCGTTCATGTCGAGCTGATTGTCTCAATCAAGCCCATAACGACGGCGGTTCCTTCCCGATTCCCCTTGGAGATATTGATGGACCTGAATGGCGCCGCTGCACTGCGATTCTGCCCTTGCAATATACGGACACGGGATTTTCTCCGGAAATGCCCTCTGGATTGGCCGATTTTGCAACCTTTGGTGCCTTTAGTAAGGTCTGCCAAGCAACGAGCGGAATCTGCGTTGGAATCTTGGTCCATGCAAGGGCTCGATAAAGAGAACTTGTGTGCACCATAGACATCCATAGACAAGATGTTTTTAATCTGTTTGCATCAATTCCCAGGCGGGCAAAGGCAGGAAGGTTTTTTTCCTGAGGTCGCTTGCTGTCTGAGCGATTGCCACTCCCAGGCAGGGCACGGGGATCCCCTTCTTTCAACTCTAAAGGAACCCTTCCAGCGCAATTTGACCACGCAGGGCGCCTTTGCAGCAGACCTATTTGCCAATTTGCCTCGCATTCCCCGCGTTCCTTGTGTGCGTCGCCAGACCCGCCTTCGGCTCAGAGCACTCCACGAGAGCCGGAGCCTGTGCCGACGAAAGGGACTGGAGTCGACTCGAGTCGTTTGAGTTTGCTCCTAGTAGCATCCTTGCTCCTCGTAGTAAGGCCAGGAGCCCCTAGTAGCGTCCTTGCTCCTCGTAGTAAGGCCAGGAGCCTCTAATTAGTAGCTTCTTGTTCCTAGTAGCGATGCCCTTTGTTCCTGGTAGCTTCTTGCTCCTCGTAGTAAGGCCAGGAGCCGCTAGTAGCGTCCTTGCTCCTCGTAGTAAGGCCAGGAGCCCCTAGTAG